GCCCAGAAAACAGCATGGTGATACTCCCTCTATATACTAAAGTTGTTGAGTGGACTGAGTGGAAAAAAGTGCTAAAAATGGAAGGCAATAAGTAATAGGAATCTAATAATAAATGCTGACATTTATCAAATGGATGCTAACTGCACGCCTCTTTTATGGTACTAAGGATTTAACTTGGGGCCTCATGCTTGCTAGGCAGGTGCTCTACCACTCCAACCATACCTCTCCCCTCTTTTGCAGTGATTATTTTCAAAGGTCTTGTTATGCCAGGAATGGCTTTAGCTGTTTTACTTGTGCTTACCATGACCCTGGAATAACAGGCACATACCACTATCCAGCCATTTTGGTAAAAAGCCTCATGAACTTCTTTAAACCCTGGCCTGCCTCAAATTGTGAGCCCCCAATCTCCATCTCTCAAGTAGCTAGGATTATACCTAGAACCACTAAACCTCATTTGGTATCTTTTCCATATGCTGTCTCATTTGGCCATACTTCTTTCTGGGGTAGTATGTCATATTTTACATGGGTGAAAGTGATAACACACCACTTCCTCTGTCTTCATGTATCCTGCTTAATCTATTGTGGCTACTTTGGATTTTTTCACTTCTTACCGCCTTGGTATGTTTTCCTTTCCACATACTATGCACTTCCCTTTTGTTTTGCTTTCTAAAGACCCAAGTACTGACACACATTTAGCACTTCTTTTTTTATTATTTTTTTATTTTGTCGGTCGTGGGGCCTGAACTCTGGGACTGGGCTCAAGGCTAGTGCTCTACCACTTGAGCTACAGCACCACTTCTGTTTTTTCCTCTGCTTATGTGGTACTGAGGAATTGAACCCAAGGCCTCGTGAATGCAAGACAAGCACTCTACCACTGAGCCACCTTCCCGGTCCCGATTTGGCACTTCTTGATGGTACCTTTTCAGCAGTTGTTCTAGGTGCTGTCAGCATAGTTTTTGACAGCTTCTCACATAATCTGTCAGCTCTCTGAACTCTTGATTGCCTACTCATCAGAGCTGAAATGTTCAGTGTGACTACTGTCATCCTTTATTTTATGCAGGATTACGGGGGCTCAGTTCTTGGCCTACTCAGGAATATTATGATCTGAACTTTGGAGCAATTATTCAATTGAGGGCAATTATCTGTAGGTGTTCTTTAAGGCAAAGATGTTGCCGGAATGTGACTAAATTCTGAAACAGCAGCATCCAAATCAGTTAAAGAACTACTTTATGCACATAGAGCTAATCTCAGTCTATTGTCATTGGAGGGAGGTGGTGATCTTTTTCTACAGCATACTGAGTTGTTATTGCTTCCTATCCTACAAGGCGTCAGCTATTTTTTTCATGTTTGTTTTCAATATGGAGACAAATAATAGAATTTGGTTTTAGTCAAAGCTTCCTATGCATTACCATTCTACTTTGCCCTGAAAATGTGCTTGCCTCTAAATAGAAAGAATCCTTTTCATCCTCTAGGAATTAGAGAACACATTAAATACTATTCAAATAATTCATTTATTCATTTTCTATTACTAAAAGAAATACCTGACCGATCAACAGCTTATAAACATAAAAGGTTTATTTTGGCTTGAAGGGTTAGTGGTTTTAGTCTTTGACTGATTCACCTATTGCTTTGGACCTATTACAATTGGCAGCATATCATAGTAGGGATGTACTGGGAAGAACATGGCCCACCTCATGTCTGGCAAGTGAAAGAAAGCAAGAGGGCAAGAAGATAGTAGCCTATAGTTCTCTCCAGAGAAATGCCCCTAGTGTCCTGAAGAGCTCCCACTAGGCCGCACCTCTTAAATGCTTCATTGGTATTAGTTCTTGGGGAGCAGGCCTCTATCACATGAACCTTTGGGTCTTTTAAGGTCCAAATTATGGCATTTACTTAGGCATTGGACCATTCTCTTTAACTTAGTGGTTTAGAGTATAGAGTATTTAAATCTGTACTTATGAACCATGTTGGTTTTGAAAATTCTCCCTGAGAATGTTTTTCTTTTTCTTTCTTAGATAAGGTCTTGATATTTTAGTCCAGACTAGCCTTGAACTCACAATCCTTCAAGTGCTCTATTATGTCTGGCTCATTTCTATAAATTTTAATTACTATTTTATGAAATGGAATTTTATGGTTCTTGTGGGGTAATATAAAAAACTCATAACTTGTCACAAAGAAAATATCTCATGAATATTTGATCTTATTTATTCTGCCTTATTATTATACTCTGGGCTTGGGCACTGTCTCTGCACTCTTCAGCTCAAGGCAAGTGCTTTACCACTTGAGCCACAGTGCTACTTCTGGTTTTCTGGTGGTTTATTGGAGATAAGAGTCTCATGGACTTTTCTGCCTGGGCTGGCTTTGAACCACGATCCTCAGATCTCAGCCTCCTGAGTAGCTAGGATTACAGGCGCTCAGCTCCTGGAAGGTTTTTGTTGTTGTTGTTGTTGTTGTTTTTGTCAATTGTAGGACTTGATCTCAGGGCCTGGGTGCTGTCCCTGAGCCTCTTTGTACTCAAGGTGAGTGGTCTACCACTTAAGCTACACTGCCACTTCTGAGATTTGAGTGATTTATCGGCGAAAAGAGTCACTTTTCTGCCTACGCTGACTTCGAACTGTGATCCTCAGATCTTAGCTTCCTGAGTATCAGCTAGGATTATAGGCGTGAGCCACAGGCACCTGGGTGTAAGGGAAGTTTTTATAATATAACCTCTTAATTATATTTTAAATAAAAGTTTTATCAGATATGTTAGTTATAAATATTCATTTCTTTGGGAATCACAATACATTAAAATTAATGTAATTAAAATATAGATAGATTTATTTGGCACTTGTGGTTCATGCTTATAATTCATGCTACCCAGGACTCTTAAGTAATGGAGAATTGTAGTTTGAAGCTAGCCCTAGAAGAAACTCTACATGAATCATCTCCAAAAAGTTAGACTGGGGATATGGCTTATGTTGGTAGAGCACCAGTTGAGCAAAGCCCTGAGTTCAAGCCCCCTAATATTGGCCAAAAAATTAACTGAAGATAGATTTGTTGATAAAGTAACCATTTTTCACTGATTTCCAACAATTTAGAGGTTTGAAAATATTTTTCTACTTAAGTAGACACCGAACACTCCATTCTACTTATTTAAGGTTATGTGAAGGCTTTATTTTCCCCCAAAGCTGAGTTATGATAATTGAATAAAAGAAGTTTTTAATAAGTTGGTGCTATTGGCTCACTCATTTTATCCTAACTACTTAGGAGATGGGAGATAAGGATTATGTGGTTCAAAGCCAGCCCAAGCCAAATGTTTACAATATTCTATATCAAGAAAAAAGCCAGGTGTAGTGGTATGTGCTTGTCCTCGTGGCTATGGCAGAAAGCATAAAATAGATGGATTAGAAAAGCAAGAACCAGATACATGTTGATTTTAGTCCTGGTGACAGTCTAGTAGTAGTGATATAGTGTGGACAGAGCAGGGAGCAGGGTCTTTTTCATCTTATCCCACACTTTTAGCAACTAGGCAAAAGCCAATGGGTGAGAATCCAGACTCAGATTAGGAAAACAAAGTTTGCTTAATTGTAACACAACTTTTTCTTAAACTAAAATAATCGTACTTATTTTTCTAATTGGTGATTATGATAATAACTTGTCTAGAATCATCAGTTGATATGGTAATGGAAACTAAGTCAATCTGTTTTTGTTGTCTATCCTGATTGTACTTTCTGTTGCTTTGGTTTCCTAAAGAATTAGCTGACCAAAACCAAAGTGTTTAGCTTATATTTCTACCAATCGATATTTTTATTGTTCATCTATCTTGCCATGTTTGGTAGTTAAATGTAAAAATTCCCATTAGCAAGCCATAACAGGAATGCTTATTAAGTTTCTAGTCCTAAACATCACCTTTGATCATGGATGCAGAAATCTAAAGTTCTTTGCAAAAGTACATTTGGTATAGCTCTATGTTCAGTAGGCAGATAGATTATGTTTATGACAAAGATAAAGGATGACACATTCAATAGGTCATACACCTATGCATAATGTCAACTCAGACTTGAAAGATATTCTCATGGATAATGACTTGCATTATCAAGGAAACAGCCTACTCCATGGCAACCTTATTTTTCATTCTGTTGTCTTGTATGTGTGAAATTCCATATCTTTTTAATTTAATAGCTCAGCATCTCTTGAGAATCACTGGGCTGAACCTAGACTTCAAACATCAGTTCCAGTATGGCTTCACCAGAGTGGTTCTGGTTTTCAGAAAAGAAAAGAAAAACAAAGCCTGACCAATAGTTCCTAGTTGCTGCCTATAGTTTTGCACTAAAACAAGCAGTAAAACATGAACAGTAGTGTAAATCCTGTGGGATACTTAAAATTCTACCTACTTGTTATGAACTCCATCTTGCTTTGTTTCGTCTGCCACTGCAGTTAAACTGCATAATCCGGCTGTCCAGAATAACTTTACATTTTTTAAGTTATTTTGTTATTTAACAAATAACTTTTACAGGTCACAGACACAGGGAAATAACTCAAAACTAAACACAGGAAAGCAAAGCCATTGTAAATGACAGTAGCTTCGTGTGAATGTTAATTAAATAGCATCTAAAATTTTCAGTAAGTACTTCTGAGAAGGAAAATACCTTTTTAAAAAAAATCTCGTAGTTGCTGGGTGCCGGTGGCTCACGCCTGTAATCCTAGCTACTGAGGAGGCTGAGATCTGAGGATCGCGGTTCAAAGCCAGCCTGGGCAGGAAGGTCCGTGAAACTCTTATATCCAACAAACACTCAGAAAACCAGAAGTGGCATTGTAACTCAAGTGGTAGAGCGCTTGCTGAAGTGCTGAGGGACAGTGCTCAGGCCCAGAGTTCAAGCCCCATAACCAACCAAAAAAAAAAAAAAAAAAATCTCATGGTTTACTTAATAGTGTATGTAAAGATGAAAGGATTTAGGAATTTTATTAAAGATATACAGAGATAGATATGGCTGTTGATTTTCACTCTTTTTGTGTTTCAGGGTTTGAACATAATCTTTCATGTAGCCTTGGCTCTCCTAAAGGTAAGTTTGTCCTTTGACTACCTTACTTCTTTGTCCTTAGAACTAGAGTAGTTCTATATATAACCTTTGACTCATTCTAGGTTAGTAAATACAGAAGAAGAGGACTTCTCTGAGAAAACCTAAAGCTCTCTGTCCAGTTCTTTTTTTATTGCTGTTTATTTGAAAGTTGTTTATTACTCTTAAAAATCCATAATTTTGCTATTATGGTACTTCTTCCCATAACATGTCATATGCTTTCATTTTTACTGTAGTTGGATATTAGAGGAAACATTAAAATCTGCTTTCTGCTTAAATGAAGCCAAATTGTTTTCTTTTTTTCTTTTTTTATTATTATTAATAAGTTTTTCAATTGTGAAAATACTGTACAGAGGGTTTACAATTACATGAGCAAAGTAATGAGTACATTTCCTATCAAGCATTGTTGCCTCCTCCTTTGTTTCCCCTTACCATCCCCTTCCCCGCCCCACTCCACCAAAGTTGTAAAGTTCATTGTTCGACATAGCATCTGGTACCTTTCATTGTTGCAATGAAAGGTCCACCTGTATCCCTATTTAAACAATTTGTTTTTTCCCTTCCCCTCCCCAAATTATACCAATATCAAATACAGTGAAAACAAGGGGGAGGGACATACAAAGCAGCAAAAAAATCACCTTATAAATATGTTAGAAACAATCGCAAGAAAGAAAAACCATTTGAGTCCTTATCTTGGGGTTCATTTTGCCTAACATCAACTTACCTGACCGTTTCTGCTTGTCTCAGACATATATAGTTATTGCAAATAAGGGAAACCATAGGACCAATGTTTCTTTGGGCCTGGCTTACTTCACTTAATATAACTTTTTCCAAGTCTTTCCATTTCCTAACAAATGGGGCAATGTCATTCTTTCTGGAGGCATAGAATTCCAGTGTGTGTGTGTGTGTGTGTGTGTGTGTGTGTGTGTGTGTGTGTGTGTGTGTGTGTGTGTGTGTGTGTGTGTGTGTGTGTGTGTGTGTGTGTGTGTGTGTGTGTGTGTGTGTGTGTGTGTGTGTGTGTGTGTGTGTGTGTATCACATTTCCTTAATCCATTCATCTACTGAGGGGGCATCTGGGTTGGTTCCATATCTTAGCTATGGTAAATAATGCCACAATAAACATAGTTGTGCTAGTAGCTTTAGTATGGTCTTGTTTGTGATCATTTGGGTAAATGCTGGGTCATAGGGGAGCTCTATGTGGAGTCTTTTGAGGAACCTCCATACTACTTTCCAAAGTGGTTGAACAAGTTTGCGCATTGTTGGTGGGAGTGTAAACTTGTTCAGCCAAATAGTTTTCTTAAAATGCTTTTTACCATAGTTGCATCCCTAGACATACCTAAACGTAAACTTTCATTATTTATAAAGCTTTTAAAGCCTTCTAAAGACTAAAGAACTCGCTACACATTTCAGTTTGCAGTTCTTTCTCTGATGGCTAGAAATTTATGATACAATTTATGATACAATTCAATTATAATTACCTTGTTGGATTTTATATCAACATATCAATACAGCTTTCACAATGGGGCAACAGTAAGACATTTGCTACTGGGCTAGTGAAATTACCCAGTTAAAGATGACTTTCTGCTGTTGGCCATTATAATTGTTTTGTTTATAAAATGACACAGCCTTGTCTTTCCTCAGTAAACATAGTGGTCAGACAGATTTAGTTCTAATTTCAGCTCTACTGCATGATCTTAGATAAATTGCTCAGTGTTCAGAATATAAGTTTGAGACAATAATAAATATTAATTTATTACTATAAATTAAAATTGCTATAATAAGTAAGCTAATACATAAAAGTTCTTAATGTAGTATCTTGAAAATGTTACTGACTAATAATTGTTAGCTGTCATTATTATACTTACTCTTGGCAATCATGAAGTAACTCAGAATGTGTTCTTAGATTGTTCATCATTCTCTAGAATCTCTGAGCTATCTTGGGTGGGCCTCTTGATGCCTTTGGCGCACCTTAAGACTTAACTATAGATACATTTAAATATACCTGATTCTCAGAAGATTCCTCTGAAGCTCAAAAAATAGGGTACTGTTCCTCATTACTGGTTACAAAGTTAAATTATTATATCATTTTGTGTTTATATATGAGCAGATGTTAAGCCAAAGCTATTTGTAGAAGTCAGGAAAATATTTGTAAACATTTTAAATAAAATAACACAAACATTTGCTTATATGTCTTAAGCCATGAATCTTGACCATGAATTTATTTTCTTGTTATTCAAAAACTTCAAAACCAAAACAATTTCTAATATGTCCTCTCAGCAGGGGTAGGGTAACAGTTTTTTTATTATTATTATTGTGTAATTTCTTAAGACTGTACTGCTTTAAGCAGAGTCTTATATAAGTTAGACTAAAAGTAATATAGAATCATGAGTAAGGTAGTCCAACAAAGTTCTTATTTTTTCTATCATGTTCAATTTTCTTTTTTACTCTCAGATATTAAATCTTTTCCAAAATATCTCTGGTAGCTCATGTATTCTCAACAAATGCTTAGTCTGTCTTTGGCTAATTCAAGACAGTCTCTCTGGATATCAAGTTCAAGTCTTTACTTTGTGTCAGCTCAATACTGAACATTTTGCTTATCTTCTTAATTGACATAGTGACTTTTTTTGTCTTATTATCATTTACTTATTAGTGTTTTAAGCTTCATATCACATGAACAAAGGCTGTTCTACCAGAGAATATACCTTCTCTAGCAATGCCTGGATACTCTTCAAACATCATCTTAGAAAGTTTAGCTAGATAAGATAGAAAGAAAGCCTTCTCACTGTAGTAGGCTATGTTTATATCTCTATCTGGTATAAATCCTTACACAGTTTCCTCATAGAGACAGTACCAATAAGGACAAATTGAAGTGAACTTCATTGATCTGATAGCTGCTACCTAGCCAAAAGAATCTACAAAATATTTAACAGTAACTGACTTCTAGCTTTTAATCTACTGTGCCAGGTAAAATAATACATATGTATGCTTATATAAAAATAAACAATTTTGGGCAAGTTTAAAGTGCTTCTGATTCTGAACCTAACATAACTAATTTTTAGTAAAGCTATAGTGGGATTTTCTGAAGTCTCTATTAGATTATTATAAGTTATCTCTTGCGATGAGGGTCTCAGAAAGAGAACTAGCTTTTTTGAGCATTTTCTGTGTTTTCGGTACTAATCTAGTGGCCACTACCCACGTGAATGTTAAGTAAACCAAATCCAAGACTGCCTAAAGCCTTTTGTCTTGGTGATGAATTTGTAATTTTTAAAAATAGCACAGATATGTAATGAGTGTCCCTGTTACTCAGTTTGCTTTAAAGTTGCCTGCATTTCCTAGATCTACCGATGTTGGGCTAGAAATCACATAAAAGGCAGCTATAAGAGTGATTTGCTGTAGTTGTAGTAATATCAAATCACATCTTTTTTGTTGTTGTTGTTGTTGGTTATGGGGCTTGAACTCTGGGATTGGGCAATGTCCTGAGCTTTTCAGTTCAAGGGGATTGCTCTACCACTTGAGCCACAGTGCTACTTCTGGTTTTCTGGTGTTAATTGGAGATAAGAGTCTCATGGACTTTCCTGCAGGAGCTGCCTTTAAACCGTAATCCTCACATCTCAGTCTCCTGAAAAGCTAGTATTACAGGCATGAGCTACTACTTTGTGCATATATATTTTTCAATTCTCTTTAGTATGTATGTATGTATATAAATATATATATATATATATGTATATATAAGCCTACAATTAGAATTGGTGGATCATATATAAAAACCGATAGTTATCTTTTCAAGAAACTACCACAGGGCTGGGAAGGTGGCTCAGTGGTAGAGCGCTTGTCTTGCATGCCTGAGACCCTGGGTTCGATTCCTCAGCACCACATAAGCAAAAAGAAAAAACCTGGAAGTGGCGCTGTGGCTCAAGTGGTAGAGCACTGGCCTTGAGCTGAAGAGCTGAGGGACAGCGCCCAGGCCCAGAGTTCAGGCCCCATGACCTGACCCCTCCCCCCCCCCCAAAAAAAAAAACTATCACAGTTTTTGAAAGAAGCTGCACCATCACATCCCCATCAGCAATGCATGAGCCTTAGTACCTAATACTAAGTGTTGTTTTGTCATCTGGGGAAAACAAGAAAGACTGTGTGGCCTAATAGCAAGCTATCCATTTCTCTTTGCTCTCATGGGTAAAGTTCCCTAAGCAAAAACAAACACTTTTTTCTTTGGTTTATTGTGGGGCTTGAACTCAGGGCCTAGTCTGTCCCTGAGCTCGTTTACTCAAAGCTAGTACCCTACCACTTTGAGCCACAGCTCCACTTCTGGTTTTTGAGTGGTTAATTGGAGCTAAGAGTCTGGCCAGTACTTCTCTGCCTGGGCTGGCTTTGAATTATGATCCTCAGGTCTCAGCCTCCTGAGTAGCTAGTATTACAGGTGTGAGCCATGCATGCCCAGCAACATCCACTTTTAATCCAAAGGACAGGACATTGGTCTTGCTTATTCCTGAGTGGCAACGTTTTAATTCCCTGCCAGCCTGCACCATTATTCAAATATACAATCACATAATCCTATTGAAACCCACTTCAGAGGGTCAGGGCAAACCAAAGTGTCAGGCCTTCTAAAGATGAAAATGAAATTTCATACTTCCAAAATACAGTGGTGGGACAGGCACAGGGAAACATAACTCTTCCAAAAGAGAGGAAAAGAAAGATAATAAGGAATAATCCCTTTGAGAAGTCTTCTGTATCCAAACTATAACCATAAGGCATAATTCATCCACCATTGCTATCTTCAAATGGCCAAAGAGGAGTGGAGAAATAGGATTAGTAGCGAATAACAACATAAACAGTCTCTAGACTCAATCACTTTATTTGACCCTCAAAAACCAAACAAAAGGTTATAACTTAGCACTGGAGTGATTATTTGTTGCTTTAACCTTCCAAAGGATAATTTTCGTTTTCCTTTCTTCTAGTATTGAAAAGAACTAACTCTAGAGAGAGGGGATC